GCTTTGCTCCGCGTCTTCCTGGTCTGCAGACCAGGGAGACGCGGAGCAGCTTTTCTCGCCCGGAGTACACGGGCGGCGGGACCGCGAGGTCCCGCAGTCCGTGTACTCCGGGCAGCCCCGTTCGTAACTGCGGATCCAACGTAAGTCGGATCCGCGTAAGTCGGGGACTGCCTGTATATTCAGCAACATTATTTGAAATCAGTTTATATATTAGGCATAGAAACAAATGTCAGTTCTCTATCACATACAATCAGATTCTATTATGGTCCTGATTCCATAAACACTTAAGCCTGAATTTAATTTTACACACAGTAAAGTTCCACTGATTGCACTCTATGAGTTGAACATGGTTAAGTACACGTATAAGTATTTGTTGGATCGGGACTTAGTTCCTCATCCACTAAAATAATATTGCCATTGTAGTTTACAGTTCTACAGAGGAAAGTTGAAAATGGACACAAAATCAAGTCTTTCTTTTCTGTATTTAAAAAAAATTAACACATTTCTACCCATAATACATAAAAATTTCCAAAATAATATAAATTGGGGCCTATAACTAGTTGGGCACTTTAACAAGGCACATTAAATATTTCTGATAAAATGGGAAGTGATTAAAGGAATGTGTTATGAGAATTATATAATTATTATATGTTCATGATACTTAAACCAGTATTGCCAAAACTCAATTTTATCATGAATCTCATCTTACGTTTCTTTTAAAGTCACAATTGGTGGAATCAAAGAAATCACATGAGAATCTCAGCTTCTCTTCTTCACTCCCACCACAAGCAGTTCCTATTCCTTATTTTTATATATAAAGGTTTGAAAAGACAAATAATTGTAAATGTATTTTTTTAAACATTATTATTTTTAATCCAATCTTGTGATATTTTGGGGGCCCGAATCATGTTTTTATGCTTTTCATAGAATCATAGAATACTAGGACCGGAAGGGACCTCGAGAGGTCTTCGAGTCCAGTCCCCTGCCCTCATGACAGGACCAAATACTGTCTAGACCATCCCTGATAGACATTTATCTAACCTGCTCTTAAATATCTCCAGAGATGGAGATTCCACAACCTCCCTGGGCAATTTATTCCAGTGTTTGACCACCCTGACAGTTAGGAACTTTTTCCTAATGTCCAACCTAAACCTCTCTTGTTACAGTTTAAGCCCATTGCTTCTTGTTCTATCCTCAGAGGCCAAGATGAACAAGTTTTCTCCCTCCTCCTTATGACACCGTTTTAGATACCTGAAAACTGCTAACGTGTCCCCCTCAATCTTCTCTTTTCTAAACTAAACAAACCCAATTCTTTCAGCCTTCCTTTGGTAGGCTCCCTCTAAATGCAACAGAATGAAGGGCTAAATCCTGCTCACTTTACTCAGAAATGTCAATGAGATTGCTCATATATGACACTAGAGGAGAAACAAGATGGATGAGGTAATATCTTTGATTGAACCAACTTCTAATGGTGAGAGACAAGCTTTTGAGCCAGCTACAGAGCTCTTCTTCAGATCTGGGAAAATACTGTATCCTGAACATCTAAGTCAGGCGTGGGCAAAAGAGGCTTTGTGGGCTGGATCTGGCCTGCCAAGCGGGTGGATCCAGCCCGCAGAGACCCTGCTGCTCCCCCGCTCTCAAGCCAATTAGGGCCTGGGGGCAGGGGAGCACCCAAAGCCTTCTCTGCTCTGCCCCTGCCCTGCAATTTTTTTTAAATCCCATGTTACTAATTAATAAATGGTAAATTGTATTGCATTAAGGCCAGATCTTTGCTATGTAGTAGAGTTTTGGCTCTTATGATTCAGAAGTGGCAAGTACTAGGTATAATGTTAGTTGTTTTGTAGAATGAAACCTTATTTGAAAGCTCTTTGAAACATGCATCTGTCTACAAACCCTGAAGCCATGCATTAATTTGTTCTGAGGCTTCTACTCTTTGAAGCTGGGGTGACACACACAAGGTGAAAGTGTCAAACCAGGAGAACTTTTTCTGTTTTTACAGATCTCTGTTTCACTTGTTCTTGTATAGCACGGATCCTGTATATTCCCCAGGGAAACTGCAAGCCTGAGGGAATGCCTTTTACTCTCCTTTCTAGTGTTAGTAAATATTGTATTAGTATTTGCAAGAAGAGCATGACTATTTGTAGTTGACTCAAAGATTTGTTTAGCATCTTAAAACTGAGCTACATGTGGATAATATGTATTTTGGTGTGTTTACTAGCTTGAGTTGTTAGAAAGGATTATGATGCGTGTACTTCAAGGGTAGTGCAAATGTTTTTTATTTGATTTCATATTAATATCGTAAGCATTGCTCCTTGTTAACTATCCCTTTTTTAATATATTTTCTTCCACACATGTGGACTGTTCAAAATATATATAACGTGTATGTGTATTTTTTTGTTTGTGTTGCTCGTGCATATCCCCTCACTACCTTAATATTGGTGTTGCACATAAGAAATTTCAACCTGCCCAAAAGACAATTCAACCCACCCAAAGATAGAAAATGTTAGAGAGAACACTGGTTGTGGGGCATCAATTATGTATGATTACCAATGTTCTTCATTAGCCTGGCAGATGTTCCACCTAACCCACCAGCATGTCAGAACAGATATTGGCTTGGGGATAAGCCGGAGAAAAGCGCCAGTCTAGACGTGATTCTCCGGAAAATAAGCCCTTTTCCAGAGGATCTCTTATTCCTATTTTGAAGTAGGAATAAGAGATCCTCCGGAAAAGGGCTTTTTTCCGGAGGATCGGGGCCAGTGTAGACGCTCTTTTCCGGCTTTTCTAAAAGCCGGAAAAAAGCGGCAGACATTTTTATTTAAATGCCACGGGGGATATTTAAATCCCCCGCGGATTTCCCTATTACGACCTGTAAAATTAGCATGCCCCTTTCAGAAAAGGGGCCAGTGTAGACGTAGCCATGGAGTGTTTAAAAATATAGATATATCTAGGTTTTTTGTTTATATTGGTAGTGCACATCCACACTACCTCAGTATTGGTGTTGCACATCAGAAATTTCAACCTGCCCAAAAGAAAATTCAACCATCCCAAGGACAGAAAATGGAGAGGACACTGCTGAGCATCACAGCTAAATGCAACATGGAACAGATTATTTAGCAAAAACAGTGCATACTAAGAGGACCTATTCAATGTAGATTGGCCTGTTAGCACCTCTGAAGTGCTAGGACAAAAAGAGGGGTTTAGTGATATTTTATTCATTCCTCTGCTAGAAACTAAAGATCATGTACTGAACAGCTGTATTTACAGCTTATACAACAATCTGTAACCCACTTACCTCTTTTTGTCCTATGACTACAGAGGTGTTAACAGACCAATCTATCATGAGTAGCCCCTTCTAATATGTGCTAACATCTTTTGTTAAACATAATGTTCCACCTGTCGTTTAGTTGTGACACAATGAGTACAGCTCCCAAACTCCATGCCTGTTTCTCTCACCAACAGAAGTTGGTCCTCATCCACCTAGTCTTATCCTCAGACAGACATGGCTTCAACTATGCTGCCAACACTAACTTCAATGGATTTGTGGATGTTAAGCAAGCAAGACTTGACCCTAAGAGATCTTGTTCTTTCAATATACAATTTCCATTACTAGAATGTTGGATATAATCCACTGCATATATAAATAAAAAATATTAGTTACTGAAAATTACATCTTATTTAAGAACATAAGAATAGCCGTACTGGGTCAGACCAAAGGTCCATCTAGCCCAGCAGCCTGTCTGCCGACAGTGGCCAGTACCAGGTGCCCCAAAGGGGGTGGACCAAAGACAATGATCAAGCGATTTGTCTCCTGCCATCCTTCTCCAACCTCTGACAAACAATTTTCTATGTGTTCACATTTTTTTGATTGTATCCCTTTGGTATATATGGTTGTGCCAATTTTATTCCACAATTTGATCTGAGGAAGTGGGTCTGGCCCACGAAAGCTCATCATCTAATAAACCATCTTGTTAGTCTTTAAAGTGCTGCATAGTCCTGTCTTTTGTTTCAGCAAGACCAGACTAACACGGCTACATCTCTATCACTGTGAGTTCAGGCACTTTGCAACTAAACCAAAACTGGCTACTCAGCTGAACCTCTCATGACTTAAGGCTTGGCACCCTGCAGCCTTCACGCTTTAACACAACCCGGGGCGCTCTGTCTCCCCAAAACCAGCGAAGGAGTGCTGCATAGTCCTGTCTTTTGTTTCAGCAAGACCAGACTAACACGGCTACATCTCTATCACTGTGAGTTCAGGCACTTTGCAACTAAACCAAAACTGGCTACTCAGCTGAACCTCTCATGACTTAAGGCTTGGCACCCTGCAGCCTTCACGCTTTAACACAACCCGGGGCGCTCTGTCTCCCCAAAACCAGCGAAGGAGGTTCCTGCGCGGAGCAGCGCTCTGGACAATTCACCTTCGTTTTCTTGCCCCGACGAGAGGCAGGGG